TCGGCCCGTTAACTAAGATCCTCAGTGGGAAATGGCCTCACTATTGTTGGCTCAATCTCCTTATCAGGTATGGATTTTTAGTACAATATTATTCATACTTTGGTATCATAAAAGTTTATAAACAGGCAGACACTTGCTTCCCTTTTCTTATTCACCACAGAAAGATAATTATAATAATATTCTTTAGGAATATCCTCAAACAATAATTCTTTATTGTCTTACGTGTATTTGGCCAAGAGCAGGTGAAGGTAACACACATTAAAATAAAAGTTATACTTTAAAAAAATGTCTAATACTTAAAATGTATGTATTACTTGAAAGAATCTCTTAACAAACATCTAATGAAGCCCTAGATCTCATACTTACCCCTACTCAACTCAGCCTCCTAAAGCAGAGGTCTAAGGGAAGCATTGAAGGCACAGAATGTAGGATGATGGAAAAAAGAGTAAGGAAGACCATAGATGTTCCAATAATGGAGCTAATAGTGACAGAAAATGATGAGGATAAAGTGGTTCAATAGGCCACCATGAGACAGAGTGGCTCACTCACCCCCACTTCTAGCTGCGTGCATCACTGGACTTCAGGTTGAGAGCTTCAGTGGGAGGATGCGAGAAGTTTAAAAAATAGGAAATATGAAGGGGTCAGGGAAAGTTTAGGCTACTGAGCTGATGAGGCCCAGGATGCTGCCCGCCTGGGAGGCATTTTTAATTCTGGAGGACGTGTGTACTGAAAGGAGCCCAGACGGAAAAAATTGGAAAGTGGCTCTTTGGGTCTTACTCTGGGTTCAAGGATAGGTAGGGAAGTCTTTCAGGTTTCTCTCCATGTGCCCTGGTCTTGTTCAGTAAAATAGCAGAAGAGGTAGGGATTCTGACAGATAGGGAGTACAGAAGAATAGAGAAATGCAAAAGAGAAGTACAAACACAGGACGTTAAAGAACGAGTAAATATTCATTTCCATCCTCTTGTTATTATTAAATAAGTGCCAAAATACCACCAGAAATAATAATACACAGTACAGTCTTTGAAATGACTAATTTTCATTTTATATAATTTGCTAAGGCCAAAAAATATATTAATGTGTGTCCACTAGGCAGATTTGTGGTTCTGCCATGAGAAGTCCAAAGTTGATAGCCTGAAGATTTGAAGATTTGTTTTGGCTACTTCTCCCAGACCTTTAGGTCATCATGTGGAAAACTCTAAAGAAAATTTTCATATACAAATTCAAAAAATTTAAGCATTATGTGAAAAATAAGTGTAATCTATGGAATATGTATCCTCTATGAATAAGCATGGTTACATTTATAGAAACCATGCATCCAGAATTCTGTCACAATATAAGGTTAATACTCCCCCTCCCATCCCCCGCATCTCCTGGATTAAGACAAATAATATTATCCATGGTAGTACTTATTATTATTTCTTTAAGACAAAAAAAAATGAGTAATCCTGCACCAGTACCAGCAAAACTTACATCCTGAGGTACACAGAAAGATTGTCTATAATTAGAAAACAGAAAGGTAAAATAAATGCTTAATGATATAATTATATCTATCCAACTGAACATTAAGAAGAGAAAAATCATTCTATGTCATATTGTGAGCCCAAGAGAACTTCTAATACCTCAATATCTTATTAAACTAATAACAAGTTCCATTCAGCTCAAAAAATATTTCAGTGCTACGTGTAGTTTTCTGTTACTGAACTAACTGAGTCTGTGGATACAACATTCATAGTCTTCCTCTTTGGCAGGTTATTTATCCTCCTGTTACAAACTTTGATATGTGTTAAAAGTAAATGATTCATTGTCACTGATTTCCACTGTCAAACCTACGAGTCACCTAGCTCTGACTCGAATGGAAATGAGGATGCAAAAGTGAAAATGGTCTGAGAGAAGGACAGCCTCTCTTGAAGGGCAGTTGGAGCTTCAGTGACCTCTGGGCACTCTGGTCCATTCTGGTGAATCACTGCTTTGGGGAAGCAAAAGACCTTGTGGCTCATAAAACCTGATGATATTAAGAAGAGAGAAGGAATTCACACTTAGATGTCAGGGTCACTGCTAGAAATACAACTTTAAAAATTCAAAGGTAAGGAAAAATACCATCTTTAAAAATGAATTACTAATGTTTTTTCCTTTGAAAGTATTGGGAAAACCCATATCATACAGACGTTCATTACTAATTCAATGTACACTATTGAGAGATAAATAGAACTGTTAGAATACAAAAATGCCAAGGGTAATTCAACTACTGCAGTGTAAGTGTGGCATAACTGATTTGTCATGACATACAATTTTCTAAAAGCTATTCTGTTAGAAGGCAATAAATGAGTGCATAAATGATTTATACTCTTCTGAACCATGGTTATTATTCAATACTTTATTTTCAAAAATATATACACCCTATACTATTATGTTTATTCTCTAGAGTATAATAAAAACATAATTGAATTTGATGAAAAATAGACTTGATTCTAAATGTAGCACACAGCACACACAGCTACTCCCTTATTTTATCCCTTGTGAAGATCAATGGTCACTTCAGGTGGTTCTGCTCTATGTTCATTTTAATATATGGGCAATAAAATATTTTTAATTTAAAAATTATATCCTTATATTCCATATCATATTTTTTAATACTAACATCTGAGTTTTGACCTAAATAACAATTTATGAATGCAAAATACAATATTTTGTGTGTGTGTGTGTGAGATTAGCCCTGTGCTAACATCTGCCAATCCTCCTTTTTTTTTTGCTGAGGAAGACTGGCCCTGGGCTAACATCCGTGCCTATCTTCCTCCACTTTATATGGGATGCCGCCACAGCATGGCTTGCCAAGCAGTGCATCGGTGCGCACCCAGGATCCGAACCCGCGAACCCTGGGCCGCCGCAGAGGAGTGCGCGCACTTAACTGCTTGCACAACCGGGCCAGCACCAAAAATACAATATTTTAATCACTGTTTTACTTCTAAATGTTTCTTATTGACCAGGTAGGGCAGGAAATTAACCACAGATGGTTTAGCAAATAAAAATGAAGCCATCTGTAGCAAAAGTATCAGAGTTCAGTGACTTGTTTTGTTTTGATAGAGCCTAAATGCCATGAGTGAAGGTTACCTTTTTAAAAATATTTAAAATTTGTTTTAATCTAACCATCTCTGAAATTTACATAAATGACTTGTTAATCTATTTAAGCTAATACTATTTTCATTTATAAGTTTCTTTAGGTTAGAAATTGTGTCATGCAACATGTAAATATATAATATATAAATCGCATAAATACATAATTACACTAAAGTTTAATACAGTTATTTTACATTTACATAATATCAGTTATAATATACACTCTCTACAGTATGGTTGTCATATATATATGCTATCTTTCAAAACACATATATATAGTAAGGGCAAATACAAATTAAAATAAGAGGTTTAATTCTCCCTGTTGAAAATAAGAGAAAAGGTTTCCCTCTCTTCCTTTCTCCTAAAACATTTACCTTAGAAACTTGTAATTAAAAGTACTTTTTTGTATCTTTGAAATGTATCCCTTGGAAGACAAGACAGGCCTTTTGTCAGCTTTCTCAGCCAGGACTATCTTTTTCAAGAACCTGGGAGCCATCGTTTCGAAATGCAAACAAGGGAGATAGCTCTCCTATTCCCAAGTTCCTGTGGGAGAGTAGGAGCTTAACTTGAGTGGGTGACTTGTTCCAATTTTCAAAACCACCTCTTGTCATAAAGATATGAGAAGTTTGTTTCTCCTCAGGATAAAGCCAACACAGGTGTTCTTTAACCACAGTGAGTTAGGATGAACTATATGTGACAAAATGTGCTGTCAAATCTTCTACTTGAGGCTAGTTACTGTTTATCTTGAAAACATGTATGTAATGGCTTGTACCTACTAAGCTATATAAAGGGAAGTGATTCCTTTCTGTCTTTGTAATCTGAGCAATTTGCCTGTGGTGTGCCTTGCATTCTGCTTTAATGCCTGTTGAATAATAAAAATGTTTTCTTTCTCTTCTACCTTTGTAGCGAGGATTTCTGGGGTGGGATATTTTTAATTATAATTCCCCAACAATATGCTATCTTTTGAATTTAAGTTATTTATGCCTATTGTTATAATGATGAAAAATTAACTATATTCTCAAATAAAACTTGAGGAAAAAAAATCATAGGAATATTTCATTTGCTTGGTTCAGTTTCTTTGACAATTCAACATAACTGTACCTTGAACTTTAAAAAAGGAAATACTACGTATCATTCTAAAACAGAAATTTTTACTGTGGTTTGCACATTTGTAACCCACATGAGGTGAATTATTAAAACTTCTGATCAAAAGAATTCAAGTAAGTGATCTGACTCAAGGTCACACAAATACATACAAAAACACAGTCCTTTCTACCATAGGACATGTCTTAGTGGGAAACTACTGAGCTGTCCTTGCTTTCCCCCATGATTGGTAACACTAACTTTTGGAGTAGATGATGAAGACTAATCTGGCAGAGCAACTCTATAGAGTCCCCAGCCTCCCAAGAAAATGAGAAGGAGACTTAAAATGACAAACATTACATTAAAATAACTTATTTTTAATGTTCTGTTTTCAGCAACTCAAGCAATCCATGGCCTTATACTACCATTTCAATATCTTAATTTCAAATTTTTAATTTCTGTGCTTACCTATCACACGAGAATGCTTAACTCTAATTAATGAAAAACCAGGCCATTAATATTGGCAAGCTCTAAGAAATCATTTTATAGCAATTCTGTGAAATTTAATTTATCTATTTGAAGGCAGTGCCTATATTTTCCAGGTTTATTAAAAGTACTAATCTGATAAGGGCAATCGTGTTAAATTTGAGGGTGGAGGGTCTAATCAATTTTTTTTTCAGGAAAGTTAATGATAATTAAAACCTAAAATTATCTAATAGTAAGAAACACTAAAACTAGACTAAGTAAAGCTGGAGTAAATAAAACATGAAATCAACTTGTTTTAAATAATTAGCAATATTTACCTTGCAGCATTTTGTTCTATCTTTTCATCAATGTCACTGAAGATCTGTTTAAACTCCAAGTCTCCAGGAAATGAATTTAACAAACAATGTAGGTCAAATGAATTATGAGAATATTCATCTCCCCAATCCATTCTGAAGAATAAGAATAAAAAACATGTGAGTTCCCCCAAAATGAAAAAACGAATTATGAGAATATTCATCTCCCCAATCCATTCTGAAGAACAAGAATAAAAAATATGTGAGTTCCCCCAAAATGAAGAAAAACACCTCAAAGTTTGTGATACTAAACCAAAAATAATAATTCACATTTATAGGCAAAATGAAATATAGCAGTAGGAGAACCAGGGTATTATTAACGTAGGTATTTTGTTATTTAAATTTCATGATTGGGGCTGGCCCGGTGGCTTAGCGGTTGAGTGCGTGAGCTCCGCTGCTGGCGGCCCAGGTTCGGATCCCGGGCGCCCACAGACGCACCGCTTCTCCGGCCATGCTGAGGCCGCATCCCACATACAGCAACTAGAAGGATGTGCAGCTATGACATAGAGCTACGTACTGGGGCTTTGGGGGGAAAAAATAAATAAATAAAATCTTAAAAAAAAAAAAAACTGCTAAATTTCATGATGCATGATCTAATTTTCACACTTCTCTGTGGTTTAAAAGCTGAACAAAACAGCACCCATCAGAGAGTGCTTAAGCATCCTGCTGCTTCTCACTGTAACCAAGAGCTGCAAAGGAAACCTCAAAGTCTCAAAGAGCACTGTGAACAGGATGGTTGTAGCAAGAATTCACACCTTCCCTCCACTCTTGTCAGCATACTGACCCGGAAATTGTAGGCTCAGCCTTTTTAAAGTCTCATCCTCTGGCCCTATGCATATGTCAAGAAGGCAAAATTTTTCTTGAGTTTCTCTAGCACCGCTGACAACCCACGTATTGATAACTGACTAAAACTTAAATATGCTACTCTTTTCTAGAGATATATGCATTTCCCCACTATCAAAGCTTCAATCATTCATTCTATATAATTTACTGAATGCTTGATATGTACAGGCATTGCTGTAGCAGTATAAACAAATAAATCCAAAATACTTGAAAAATTGTCTAAAATGTTTTGTAGAGGCTACAACATTAATAGACTTCTTCATCTTCAATTATTCAGATGTGCTAATTTATTATCCTATATTGAAACAGCCAAAGATTTCTCATAGGTCCTATCTGAAACTTCAAAGACATAGTCTTGGGATAAAGCTTTTATTTTTCTTCAGACATTTTATTTTAAAAAGAAAACACCCGACTAAAACATTTTAATATAAAACTGTATAGCATCACAAGATTTGTCATTTGTAAACTCAATTCCAAATACAGAATAAACATGGATATGCCACTTTAAAATACCAAAATCTTCATAGACTTGGATTCTCCTCTTTCAAAATATTTTGCAATAAAAGGTATAATTTCTTATTTGAAAACTAAAATTTACCTATAATTTGCCATAATAAATATTAATTTGAAATCAGGCTAGAGAAAACAAAAACTACAAGCTAAACGGTAGAAAACCCTATGTCCATTAGAAGTAATACTTCTTTAGGGCACCAAAACTTCAATATTTCTATATAATCTATGAGTGTGATATCTTCATATTTCTCTAGCAGCTCAACTAGTTCAGCTATCACCAGAATAGTCATTTCTAAATCCAATGGCCAACATTACTACTAATGAATTCCATTTATGTATTTTCATATTTTTGAATCATTTTGGGTAGTTCAACTCTTCAAATAATGAGTCATTCAAAAATTGTTGCAAGAAAATAAAATTTCACTTTTGTAATGAAAAGATTTGATTGGCTAAGCATTCTTTCAGACAACCCAAACTTAGTAACTATTTTGTTTGCAGCCAGCCTCTCTGTAATAAAACAAGTTATATACCAACACTATGTTCAGAGTTGTCCCAATTTGTCAATACTATAAAGCCTCATTAATTCAGACTCCACAAATTCAAAACTTAAAAGGTATGTATAGAAATCAGCTAAAATATAATGGCAAAATAACAATAATAGATTTGTTGCATATCTTTCGTTGTGTATCTACTATGTACAAGGTTCTTTACATACATCATCTTCCTTAATTCTCATAATAACTCTACAGAATAGTTATTATCCTCATTTATAGAGGAGAAAACTTGGGCCCAAAGAGATTAACTAACATGTCTCAGTTACATAGCTAACCAGTGTTAGAGGTAGGGTTTGAACCCAGATCTATTTGGCTTTAAAATCTGAGGGTTATGGTCTCTTGAGAAATGACTCACTTACTGCATACAAAATACCGTTTTGTAGAAACAATATTAACCAAAATGTTAAAATGATTATCCCTGGGTATTTAGACTATAGTTGAATTTTACTTTCTTCTTTATACTTAGCGTTTTCCTATGTTTTTGCAATAAGTACTTATTTTATATATAATTAGAAAAGGATACTTAAAACAGAAATTACCCCCGCTCTCAGGGGGCTTATGATCTTTTATTTTACATTTTCTATCTTCATTTGAAACATCGTCTAACCTTAACACTTCTCTCTTGCCAATTCATGTTTATAATTTCTTTCAAAATCTAATTCAAAACTTACATAATTCCTAAATATCTTTGACTATGACCCTTTCACCAAACTTTTTGCATTATTTCTTGGTATTTGTGCTTGCAAATGCTATTAAAAGAAAATCTGTTGTTTTCTATTATTTTGATATTGAATGTGTGTGTTGTGTCTGTCCTTCACTGAAATCAGTTCTGGAGTAAAACAATAATGGACTGAAACATGTTGAGCATTCAGATGTAGTTGGTGACCATGATTTTGAAGGATTCCCAATCTACATTGTTATGTGATATTCTCTAACCTCAGTATAGAAGTTAATCAATAAACAGCAAGAATGCATTAAAAGAATGTCATTTGATAACAATGAAAGGGTACCAGAATGATGATGGTTCAGAGTTTTCATGTGACCTGCATAGATCTGTGATGTTTCCATATCTATGATGATAAAGTGATGAAGGACAAGAGAAGTAAAGGTCACCTTTATAGGTAAAGACACAGCAAGTTTAAGATGCTGTGTGACAGGATAAGAGAAAACTTGATGGGCAAAATAAAACTAATAGGTGAAAAAATTAACCTGAGTGAATAGGGATGCACTGGACCAACACGAGGAATAAATAAAGGAGGGAGAGTAGACTGCAGTAGGTGATGTTGAAGTTTGGATTTAGAAGTTTTCTCATTAGAAGGACAGTGATCCCTGCAGAACCGTGGTGAGAAAGAAGCATGCACTGACTGAGCATGAGCACAGGCACCAATCCTCCCATTTCCTTACGTGCACTCCTCAGGCCCAGAGTGTGTCAGACACTATGTTGGGCATCATGAAGGAGCAGAGACAGTAAAAAGAATAAGACCATAAGGAAGGGAGCCAGTAGAAAGATCACTGCTATTCTCTAAGTAAAAGACAACTATGACCTCAACAGAAAAGTCAATTATTGAGGGACTAATGTACTTTGGCAATTACTTCAGTGGTATTTCAGAAAGGTAGAACTACCTTTGAAAAATTTAGGGGGAACAAGGAAGAGGCCGTGAAGCTGTGGGTCAAGATACAGCTTTACATTCTGTTTATGTTCCCATACTTCCACCTATTAAGTTGTCATCAAGGAGACAATAATAATTTGACATATTGAATAAAGTCTCTTATCCTAATTCATGATCAATCAAAATGGGAGCTATAACTTTTTTTAAGGTATAATAACTTTGTTTTTGAAATTGCTATTCCATAATACTGTTTTTAAATGTTCATTCTCCTATATTTCTTATCATTTTTTGTGTAAGATCCTGGTATGCTAATGTTTATATGACTTTGAGTAAGTCACTCAATCTCTCAAGAGGGGTGGAGCTCACATTCCTCATTTATAAAATGAGGTGAATGGATTTTCAGGCTCTGACGTTTCTTCTAGCTATAAATTTGCTGTATTCTATAAGGAATGGTAGGAGAAGGACATGTTTCGGAACTCCACAAATTAACTCTTCCAATGGACTATTTCATTCATAAACACCATCATTTTTCTTGTATCTTGGACTCTCAGAGCCATTTTTAATTCTGCCCTTTTCTCTTCCCCAGGACTGCTACATGAAAAGCCGAAGCAGAATCTATAGCTTAGCGAGAAATAACATGTAAAAAGAGGAAATATGCAGCAGCAAGATATTCTTTCATGGTAATAGGTAGATGCTCTGTACTGATGTTCCACCCCCAAGCCCCTAACTCCCTAAAATATTCTAAGAAGCAGCTAGCCCATGTTTCTGGGCTCCTCTGACTTGGCACACTCTTCACTCAACAAAAGATGTCTGAGACCAACTGACTTTGGGCATTATACCTCCACAAGGAAAAGGGTGACATTACGGAATCATACCTTCAAAGCCATCATGTATCCTTGATCTATTATTCTTTATATTATTTGTATTATTCTTTGTATTGCTGGTTTGGTTTGAGTCGCTGATTTGATTAAAAAACAAAGTGAAAACAAACTTTGACCAGGTAGACATTCCTAAACCTGTACCAGCCTTTTCTTCTGGCCTGGCTCATTTTCACTTTTCTATCCATATCTAGTCACAAAGTAGTCTTCCTATATCATTCACAAAGTCCTGTCAACATTATATAATTCAAAATTTAACCGTTACTAAGTCTTGAAAATTTTATGGAGTTCAGTGAACTCATTCATTGAAACATGGGTTAAAGATATGATGGCTAAATAATAATACTATTAATGATAACAGCTAACTTTTATGTAGCATTTACACAGGCCATGAACTGTTCTTCACTTTATATATATGAAATCATTTAATTCTTACCATAATCTTATGGGATAGGTACTATTATAACCTCCATGTTAAAGATGTAGAAACCGAGACAGAGAGGTTCATGACTTGCCCAAGGTCATTTACATAGGAAGTTGCAAAGCTGGGATTGAGACTGCTTCAAAGGCTGTCCTCAGTCACAATGCTATAAATTGCCTCTCTGTAGAGACTCATACTTATAAAATAATTATTTTACTTCTTATATGTGTTGACTTCTTTATTGCCATATTTAACAGTTTCCCTAGAACCATTATAA